CGCCACCGGCCGCCGCGCGCCCCCGGGCTACCGCTGCCCCGAGCCGCAGTGCGCGCTGGCCTTCGCCAAGAAGCAGCAGCTGCAGGTGCACCTGCTGACGCACGGCGGGCCCCAGGCGCGCCGGCCCTTCAAGTGCCCGCTGGACGGCTGCGGCTGGGCCTTCACCACCTCCTACAAGCTCAAGCGACACCTGCAATCGCACGACAAGCTGCGCCCGTTCGGCTGCCCCGTGGGCGGCTGCGGCAAGAAGTTCACCACCGTGTACAACCTCAAGGCGCACATGCGCGGCCACGAGCAGGAGAGCCTCTTCAAGTGCGAGGTGTGCGCCGAGCGCTTCCCCACGCACGCCAAGCTCAGCTCGCACCAGCGCAGCCACTTCGAGCCCGAGCGGCCCTACAAGTGCGACTTTCCCGGTAACCGCGGGACCCGCGCCGCTGGGGGTGGCCGGCGGGGACCCTTCGCTGGGGTTGCACTTGAAGGTTGTTCTTTCAAAAGCACCAGGGGTGCTGACCACGGACCCACACCCAGCCCTTGAGAGACAGGATCTTGCTCGGTGGTCGAGGCTGGCCTCCAACTCGAGATCCTCCTGCCCCAGCCTCCCCGTTGCTGGGATGACAGGCGTGCGCTCTCCCCCGGGCCCGGTTCCATTGGAAATCTTAACCCTGCCCTGCTGCGGGGTTGCTGCAGCCAGGTAGCACCCGCCATCTCGGCCGTCTGGGGAGGAGGCTTCCTTTAGTGAGAGTGATGACGTGTCCTGGGGTTTTGTTATCAGTCAGAGCTTTATTGGGCTTAGGTGTGTTGTTTAGAAACATGGACGGGTGCACTGTTGTTCTGGAGGAACAGATGAACAAGGCCAGGGACAGCACTTTATTGCACCGAGGGAGTCACCCGCTGCAGGTGTCTGGTGTGTCCCATTTCTTGTGCCTTTTGGACTTTGACGTTATTTTCACTGCACTTCAGCGCTTTGTGAAGGGTAAGAGGTTTCCTCCTCTTGCAGATGAGGATGCAGGTTTCTAGCACCGGGCAGGGTGATGTTTCTCCTCCGCCATGTGGACCTGCAGCCCCTGGAAACGCTAAGACACCAACACAGTGACCTCTGAGCCAGCGTAGGCAGGAGAACACTCTTGGTCCAGAGGACAGGAGTGTGGGAAAGGAGTGGGCTGGAGGGAAGCAGGGTCTGCCTGTGTTCAGAGCCTGGGCGGGGGGTGGTGACCGTGGCAGCTGTGGGATCGCCAGGTAGTGGCCACAGGACGTTTCCCATCCCGTTCATTCAAACATAACCTGAGCCAGTGCCTCGCGTGTGAGTCGTGAGCACAGACCCCACGGACCTAGGAACGCAGGCGGTATCAAGTGTGTTAGGACTCAAGTATCTTGAGAGTGCCACTTCGTCCCCAGGTCCTGGGGCGCCCTGTTTTGGAGACCCTTATCCCACCGGCTGGAAATCTTTTTTTTTTTAGCTGTAGCTGGACGCAGCACCTCCATCTCTCTTCTCTATTTTTGTGGGGTGCTGAGGTTCGAACCCAGGGCCTTGCGTGTGCGCGAGGCAAGCGCTCCACCGCTGAGCCCCAGCCTAGCCTTCGAATCAGCTTTTCGAAGCTGGAGGTGGCTGTGACCCTGCTGTGATAAGAGCTTCGTCCTGTGGTTCAGGGATGCAGGTCAAGGCCAAGGACCCTGGGGTTGCACTAGCTTCTCACTGGGGTTTGGTAGGCACAGAGAGCAGCCAGCGCAGCGCCATCAGGTGCCCCAGGAGTCTTTCCATAGCCTGAGCCAGGGTGATGGTGGGGACCCCAGATAGCAGTGGCCATAGACGTAGGGTCCAGAGGTGGCAGTGCTGATGGGGACAGGGGGACCTTGCCAAGGCAGAGGGTCGTGTTAAGATGAGCTTGAGCGACCGAGGGAATGCACCCCAGCACACTGGAGGGTGTGATGGAGGGGACATTGGGGCTTAGGAAGGTCCCTGCTGCCTGGGTACAGGAAGCTGGAAGGAGGTCCCCAGGCGGCCTTGCTCAGGGCGCTGCGGTGCCACCTGCCCTCGCTCCCAGACCTCGCTCGGCTCGGGAAGGGCCGACAGGTGCCTCCACAGGGCAGCAGCCCAGCTTGGTTGTCAAACATGGCTGGGGAGGTCAGCGATGGCCAAGGGCAGCCCCTGGAGCTGGCGAGGCCGCCAGGCACTGAGGGTGGAGTGGGGACGAAGGTAGCCGAGCAGGAACCTGAGGAACGGGGAGGGACACGGAGACGGGGAGGGGGGACTGTCAGAGGAACCCCAAGTGCGGAGGCCCAGGAAGCCGAGCCTGTGGGCAGGCGGGCAGGACACGTCCACTGGCGCTTAATTTTCCTGGGGTTTTCTTGGGGACCAGCAGTGGCTCTTGAGTCCGTGGAGGGCAGGACTCCCGCCTGCAGATCAGCGCGACAGACTGGGCCTCCGATGGCTGTGACCATAGGGCCCTTGGTCAGTTAGTTTCCCTGTATCCAAGTCACAGTGTAGCAAGTGGCTGCCGTGGCCATCCTTTCTATAGCCATCACGTGGCCACATGTCCCCGGTCACAGTCAGGACTCTAGAAATGGCTTTTGAGTCACCATCTCCCTGTCTACTCAACATGGGCATGTCCCGGGCTGTGGCCAGCATCTGGGCTGTGGGCAGTGTCCCGGGTTGAGGCCAGCATCCACGCTGTGGGTAGTGTCCCAGGTTGAGGCCAGTGTCCAGGCTGTGGCCAGCGTCCCGGGCTGTGGGCTGTGGGCTGTGGCCAGTGTCTCAGGCTGAGGCCAGCGTCCAGGCTGTGGCCAGCGTCCGTGCGCTGGGTCCCGGGCCAGAGCGGGCTGTTTCTCTGTGCAGGCTGCGAGAAGACCTTCATCACGGTGAGCGCCCTCTTCTCCCACAGCCGCGCGCACTTCAGGGAGCAGGAGCTCTTCCCCTGCTCCTTCCCCGGGTGCAGCAAGCAGTACGACAAAGCCTGCCGCCTCAAGATCCACCTGAGAAGCCACACAGGTAGGAGTGGGCGCCCCACGGGTGCTGGGGCGACAGTCCCCTCTGAGATCCTTCGGGTGCGTGACCCTGCTTTGCAATTTTTTTTTCCTTTGACAAGGTGAAAGGCCATTTATATGTGACTCGGACAGTTGCGGCTGGACCTTCACCAGTATGTCCAAACTCCTGAGGCATAAAAGGTAGGCCTGCTGACTGGGGGGGGCTGGCAGCTCAGAAAGCGGGTGAGCTATTTTAGGTGGTTTTAAAAAAATGCTCAGTATGAACTGGCCTGGTGGCGCATGCGTACAATTCCAGTAGCTCAGGAGGCTGAGGCAGGAGGATCGTGAGTTGGAGGCCAGCCTCAGCAACAGTGATGTGCTCAGCAGCTCAGGGAGACCCTGTCTCTAAATAGAATACAGAATATGGCTGGGGACTGGGCTCAGTGGCCGAGAGCCCCTGAGTTCAATCCCTGGAACCGAAACAAAAAACCAGTGTGTAGGGATTTTTGAAAATCGGGAAACTGTGAAGAAAATTGTTCAGAGTCTCACCCCCTGGAGACAGATTTCCTACGTGTTCTTTATTGTCATCTTTTACATACAATGATTTTTTGTGTGTTTTTGGACACCGTAGGATAAGTTTGACACTCGTGGGGCCTGTGTCCCAGGGATGCTTGTCACTTCACACGGGTGTCGAGTTCCATTTTCATGACAGCGCTGACCCTGCTGTCTCTGTCCCTGATGTCCAGGGAGACTCGGAGTGGGTGACGTGTCTGGGCTTGCACAGCTGGGCCCTGAGGTTTGATGGAAGAGCGATCCTTAGGAAGGGACACGCGACCCTCCAGCTTACAGCCTGAGCCTTGTGCCCACCTCTGCTGCCTCTGTGGCTTGGTGACGGGGATTTCTAAGCAGTGGGACTCTGCTGCTCGGGGGCAGCCTGGGCATGCCAGTGAAGTGGCCGAGTGTGGAGCGAGCCAGGCAGTAAAGCCACACGTGGTCAGAGATGGCCGAGGTTTTCTGAGCTGTACTGACCATTTTTTCTAAGTGAAGAGAGCTCATAGTTTGATGTAATTTTGCAGAATTTAAGCAGGGAATTGCCTCTGGGGCCTCTGAGGTCACTGTGCTGCTTCTCCTCCTGTCCCTGCAGGAAACACGACGACGACCGGAGGTTCACCTGCCCCGTGGAAGGCTGTGGGAAGTCCTTCACCCGCGCAGAGCACCTGAAAGGGCACAGCATCACCCACCTGGGCACCAAGCCCTTCGAGTGCCCCGTGGAAGGTAGCGTGTCAAACTACTCCCAGCTCTAACGAAGCGCCAGGCCACCTCGGCCACTAGATCCCGTGGGTGAGCTGAGCCTCAGGTAGGGGTAGGCCAGGTGAGTGCAGGCGGCAGTCTGGGGTTTACCTGGCCCACCTGGGGAGCAGCATCAGAAGGAGGCCCAGATCAGGGGTCCTGCCTGTTCGCCTCCAGCCCTGTCACCCGCTCTGTTGGTGGCTCTTGTGAAATAACATGTCTCTTCACGCATCTGACATGTTGCTCGGGCTCTGAATGGTAACTCGCTACTCTTGGGGCAGTTGGAAGGTAGCCAAGCTCGGCTCAGTGAGGCCCTGTCTCTTTTTTGGGGGGCGGGGGGGTCCTAGGGATTGAACCCAGGGCCCTCAACCTCTGAACCCCGTCCCCAGCCCTGTTTTGCATTTTATTTAGAGACAGGGACTCATTAAGTTGCTTAGGGCCTTGCTTTTGCTGAGGCTGACTTTGAACTCATGATCCTCCTGCCTCAGCCTCCCCAGCTGCTGGGATGACAGGTGTGCGCCACTGTGCCTGCCTAAACTCACTTTTTGTTGGTTTTTTTTTTAGGTACCAAAAATGAAACCCAGGGGAGTTTAACCACTGAGCCATGTCCCCAGCGCACTCCCCCCTTTTATTTTGAGGCACGGTCTTGCTAAGTTGCTTAAGGCCTCACTAAGTTGCTGAGGATGGCCTCCAACCTATAGTCCTCCTGTCTCAGCCTCCCAAGTCGCTGGGAAGACAGGCGTGCACCACTGTGCCTGGCCTAGGCTGACGTTTTTAAAGGGCTGTTAGTAAGCTGAGCACAGTGGCCACACTTGTGGTCTCAGCGACTCAGGAGGCTGAGGCAAGAGGATCACAAGTTCAAGGCCAGCCTCTGCAACTTAGCATAGACCCTGTCTCAAAGGCACCCTGCCACTTGAGCCACATCCCCAGCCCCATGGGTTTCTTTAAGGTGCTGGGGGCAGGGTTCACCTGACAGAAACCTGCTCTGTGGCCCGCCGAGCTGGCCCACGCTGGGGCTGCAGAGGCACTAGGGAGCAGCAGACCAGGGCAGACCTGGAGGTCCCCAAATGGGTGGCCTCGGCTGCTTCTCTGGGCTTGGCCTTCCCAGTCTGGAGAAGGGGAAGGAGAGGGCAGAGACCGCGCAGAGCTGAGACCAGCTCTTAGAACGTGGTGGACACAGTACAGGTCGGGTGGCCAGGCTGCGTGGGCTCATGGGGTCTCATGACAATGCTGGGGTGGCGGGGAGCACGCCAGGGCCTCCGATCAGCCTGAGGTGGAGGGTGCCAGCCCAGCACAGGGAAGGTGTGTGAGGCGGGAGAAGCAGCAGGTGGACCTTCCCAGCCAGGAGCTCGAGGTTTGCAGACGAGGCCCACGTCCAAGGTGCAGCCCAGTCGGGTCTGAGGACGAAAGGGGAGGGGAGGGGCCGCAGCCCTCCTGGGCAGGTGCCTGTGCCCAGCAGGGAGCTGGCAGCCAGAGAGAGGGCGGCCCACAGCTGGGAGCTGAGAAGTCGTCGTCCACAACACTGGGCTGGACAGGGGCCAGGGCAGAGGTCACAGCTGCAGTCAGTGTCAGCTGAAGTGGGGACACTGAGGCGGGGCTGGTTGGGGAGAAGGGGTCTGGTTGGCAGTGTTGCACTTGACGAGCCTTTGACCCCATGAGTTCAGGTGCTGGGGGGCAGGGGGGTGCCGCCGCCCGGGGAGCAGGCAGGGCTACCAAGAGAAGCGGGCAGCGCACGAGGCATTGCTAAAACCATGGAAGTGGACGGGATACTCAATAAGCAGTGTCAATCAGGAGGCGGTCAAGGGCAGTGATGAGAAATAGGAATTCTGAGCTGGACGTGGTGACGTGTGCCTGTCATCCCAGCAGCTCGGGAGGCTGAGGCAGGAGGATCGCAAGGTGGAGGTCAGCCTCAGCCACTTAGCGAGGCCCTAAGCAACTCAGTGAGGTCCTGTCTCTAAATAAAATGCAAAACAGGGCTGGGGACAAGGCTTGGGTCGAGGGCTCTGAGTTCAAACCCTGGTACCCCCCAAAAATATACAACTTCTGGAGTCCAGTCTGCGTGAATCCAAGTCCTAACTCTGCCCCGTAAGTCGCCGTGCGATCTGGGACAGGCAGCTTTAAGTCTCTGTCAAGTGAGACCTCTGTTTGTCGTGGGGCTTGGTGACTTGAGTCGAGAAGCACACGCGCGTCCCGTGTGTCTGCGGCTGATTGTTGGTTTGGGGGGTCAGAGCCTGGGACAGTCCTGGGATTGAAGTGGGACGTGGAAGGGTGCCCTGGCAGGAGCCCTGGGGGCGGTGCCAGCCTGAGGGGTGGTGTGTGAGGAAGGCCCAGCCCAGGGCACGGTGGCCTGCCAGGGTCCTGTGTTGAGGGCAGGTTCTGTGGGAGACTCAGCAGATCCCTGGGAAGTGGCTTAGTGGGCGCTGGAGGGTGGGAGCTCTGAGCAGCCTGGAGGTCCAGATGCATGTGGACCAGGCGGTGGGGACAGAGGGAAGGGCCGCCCTGTTGGGGGGGTCGGAGGTGGGGCTTGCGCAAGATCCAGGACCTTCCTTGCGTGGCTGGGGCCCATCCTGGGTGGGGGCACTGCTGGCACCCGGGCCTGCAGTGGGGCTGTGAGGAAGCCCCACGGGAAGGTGGGTCGGGGCCGTGGGGCAGAGGCCTGGCTACTCCAAGTGCCACTGAAAGGATGTTTGGTCTCCCACAAGCGGAGGTTGCTCCCAGGTGGGCTCCGCAGATGGGTCATGCTGTAGTTGTCCCTGTCATCCCCCTTGAGGCGTACATTCCCATTTTACACAAAAAGGAACCTGCGAAGGGTGTACAACAGCTGGTGGCCAGGCCGTCACCCACTCCCTGTGGCTCTGGCTCTGCCTCAGTGCCACCTGCTCTTGGGCCTTTTCCATCATCTGAGGGGCTCTGCTGTCACCTCTGCTTCTTGGGCCCCGCTCTGTGTCACCAGAGGTCCTCACAGTCCAGGAGCCCAGCCCTACACTAAAGTCCCTCCCTGTGTCTGTGGGCGAGGCTCCGGCAGGGCAGTCAGGATGTGGGGGGACAGTGACTGTGTCAGCAGGAGGCCCCGGCTCTGGCTCCCTCGCTTCCTGCCTTGTGGACACCTGGTCTCGGGGCGTCAGCTCCTGGGTGGTGAGGGGAAGGAGTTGGCCGGGCTCTGTCACGATAGGGCCAGCTTCCAAGGCCAGGACCGCGGCTGTGTGTATAGGAGCAGCTCAGCACAGACGCCAAGGACCCAGGTGTCCTGCACCAGACAGCAGGGAGTTGACCGGACTCCACCTTCCCAGCAACCCTGGGAGGGACAGAAGGGCACACAGCCAGCTCGGGCAGGTCACAGGCCAGAGACGCGGCTGGGGCAGGGCTTCAGGGTTCCTCGTATCTCTGGTCTCCTTGGAGCACCTTGCTCTGTTGTTTTGGGTTGTTTTGGTCCCAGGGATTGAACCCAGGGACCCTTGACCCCTGAGCCCCGTCCCCAGCCCTATTTTATATTTTATTTAGAGACAGGGTCTTGCTGAGTTGCTTAGGGCCTCCCTAAGTAGTTGAGGCTGGCCTCCAATTTGCGATCCTCCTGCCTCAGCCTCTCGAGCTGCTGGGGTGACAGGCGTAGGCCACTGCGCCTGGCAAGTGGCTTGTTGTGGATCTTCCTTCCTGTGGTGGTGTCCCTAGGGATACTCCACGTGCGTCCCTTCAAAGCTGGGCCTCGTGGCCCTTCCCTGACAGGGGTGTGCTGGTTCCTCGTCATCTTCAGGTGTGACTCTCCCCCTCCTCTGTTCCAGGGTGCTGTGCTAGGTTCTCCGCTCGCAGCAGTCTCTACATTCACTCCAAGAAGCACCTCCAGGACGTGGGCGCTCCCAAAAGCCGCTGCCCCGTGTCCAGCTGCAATAGACTCTTCACCTCCAAGCACAGCATGAAGGCGCACGTGGTGCGGCAGCACAGCCGGCGCCAAGGTCTGTACCTCCCGTCCCTCAGAGTGCCACCGAGATGTGTGCCTGACCCTAAGGGACAGAGCCAGGCTGCTGCTCGTGGCTAGGTCGTGAAGTTAGAAGCCGTGGACCCCAGGGATTGACCCCAGGGGCCCTCGACCCCTGAGCCCTGTCCCCAGCCCTATTTTGTATTTTATTTAGCGACAGGGTCTCGCTGAGTTGCTTAGGGCCTCACTAAGTGGCTGAGGCTGGCCTTCAACTTGCGATCCTCCTGCCTCAGCCTCCTGAGCTGCTAGGATGACAGGTGTGGGCCACCACGTGGAGGGGACCTTGACAGGGCCTGGTGGGGAGGTCCTGACTTGCCACAGTTTGCCTCTGCTCCTGGCCCGTGGAGGCTGAGCCGTGTGTTACTAGCCAGTGCTCCAGCACCACTGCCCTGGGTGGCAGGCAGCACCCCCCTGGGCACATCTCCCACTGTGGGCAGAGCCTCTTGGGAATTGCTGCGGAGGGGCCCTTTGCCGCCCACGTCTCACTTTTAAATCAAGGACGAAGTCTGCGTAGCTCCCATGGTGACGTGTTGTCAGAGTCTAGTGCAGGATTCACCTGCAGCTGGGCTTAGTAAGCGTCCGTGTGTCCTCTGGCTCTGTCAGCCTGTCTTCAGGTGGCTGTGTGTCCCCGCCCCAGATACCTCCACCTTTGGTGGTCATCCCCATGGCCTTTCCAGGCCCTTGCGTAAAGAGGTGTCCCTTCTAGCTGTGTGGGTGTCTTCAGGACGGGGTTGCTGGCTCCCCGGGGATTAGGCTGTGTCCCAGCCACTCAGGAGGCCGAGGCAGGAGGCCTGCAGGTTCAAGGCCGGCCTCAGCAGCAGGGCACCACTGTGCATCAGAGTAGAACAGGGACGGGCTGGGCCGGGACTCGGTGGCCCAGTGCCCCTAGGTCCACCCCTAGGACCAGAGGAAGAGGAAAGTCGGTGTGTGGTGGGCATCGTCTTGCAAGCCCGAGTTCCCGGGAGCTGCAGTCGTGCGCGAGGAACAGCCCCAGAGCCTCAGCTGCCCCCTGACAGTCGCAGCCGGGGAGCCCCATGGAGATTCCCTGGGGGGGAGTCCGCGGGAGGCCTGGTCAGCGCCACCCCGACTCCCTGTGCTCCTATTGGCTCGGGGCTTGAAGCATCTGTAACCTGGTGTGTGGTGTGCACCTCCACTCGGCAATCGTCAGAGGTTGTTGGACTACGTTGATGTCACTGTTTTGCTCCAAGGGTTTGCTTGTTGTTTAAGTTACTGAGTCGAACAATGGGCAGTCGAGTGCGTGGAGAGAGCAGGACTAGAAGTGCAGACCTTGGGCAAGAGGGTCCACGAGCGTCATTTCTGTGGGAGCGTTAGGTGGTCCACAGGGGCCAGGGAGCTGGGTGCTGGGCGCAGGGGACAGGAGCAGAGCCGCGCTCCGGGTTAGGGTTGGAAGTGGGACGGGCAGGCAGGGAGAGAGACCTGGCCAGCCAAGTCCCAGACAGAAGGACAGGTCTTAGGGGTGGGGCTGGAACTTGGACCCTAGAGCCAGGCCTGGCCCCACCTTTACTCCCCATGTTGACCTCCAGGTGGCCCCCGCTGATGTGGGGGGTTGACGTTGTGGAACGGGACACACTTTGACAAGACATGAGCTGACATAACCTGGCTCCAAAAATGTCCCATACATATAACGTCCTGTCATCTGTTCTAGAGAAATCCTTTTTAAGCCAGGCACCGGGGTGCATGCCTGGAGGCTGAGGCAGGAGGATCCCAAGTTGGAGGCCAGCCTCAGCAACAGTGAGGCCCTAAGCAACTCAGTGAGACCCTGTGTCTAAATAAAAGACCAAATAGGCCTGGGGACGGGGCCAGGGGTCGAGGGCCCCTGGGTTCAGTCCCTGGTACCAAGAAAGAAAAAGAGACTCTTGTTGGCCTGAGGATAGAGGCGTGTGAGTGTGTGAGACGGGCCTGACATGTCCAAGCCACCCCCTCCCTTGGTGTCCCCTTGGTGTCCTGGCTGCAGTGGACCCCTGTTGGCCATCACCAGGCCGCAACTCGAGAGCGTAGCAGATGTGGCCGGGAAGGTCTCTGGCCGTCAGTTTGAGCCTGACCGAGATCCTGTCTCCCGAGATCCCGCGTAACGGGGGTGTCCCTTCCTCTTGCAGACCTGGTCCCTCCCCTGGAGGCACCGAGTTCGCTCACCCCCAGCAGCGAGCTGAGCGGCCCCGGGCAGAGCGAGCTCAGCAGCTTGGACCTGGCCGCCCTCTTCTCGGAGCCACCCGCCAGCGGAGGTGCAGCGGCCGCAGGGTCGGAGGAGGCGCTGAGTTCTGGAATCCTCACCATCGACGTCACTTCCGTGAGCTCCTCCCTGGGAGGGACCCTCCCAGCTAACAGCAGCTCCTTGGGGCCCATGGACCCCCTGGTCCTGGTGGCCCACAGTGACATTCCTCCAAGTCTGGAGAGCCCCCTCATCCTGGGGACAGCGGCCACAGTGCTCCCGCCGGGCAGCTTCAGCGTGGAGGACGTGCACACGGTGACCACGGGACCCGTGGGCTGCCTGGTGGCCCTGCCCGTGGGCCAGGACCCAGCGGCTTTGACCTCCAGTGGCAACTTAGCAGCACACGCCACCACCCCGGCCTCCACCAGCGCCCCCGAGCTGCCAGCCCCCGTCAAGGTGGAGAGGGACCCGCCTGCGGCCCCACAGCAGGCAGGCCACACGCCACCCCCACCCGTGTCCTGCAGCCCCCCAGAGCAGCACAGTGCCCAGGACACAGAGCCCGCTGCCAGCCCCGGCGGCCTCTACCTGGTATGAAGCACACTGTCCGTCGCCACGTGGCTGTCCCTCACCTGGGTGGCGAGGACGTCCTGGACCGGTCCCTTCTATGCAGACATCTCTTACTGGTTTGCAGAAGGACGCAGCCCTTGGGGACAAACTGAATGTGCCCCTTGACCCGAGTCTGGAACTGCGCGTCCTGGCAGCCCCGAGCAAATCCCTTGCCCTCTCTGAGCCTTAAATCTTGGTGGTTCCTCAATCAGGGGATGCGGCTGGCTGTCCCTAGGCCTCTGACTGCGGGGATCCTGTCACCTGTGTTTGTGTTTCTTGAAAAAACCCGGGGCTGCTCCTCGTGTTGGGATGTGTGGCCTTCGTGCTTTTCACGTAGTGACAGATGGGCAGGGGCACAGCGGGGTGTGGGGTTAAAGGTCGTGGGAATTTTAAAAGAGGCCCAGATATTTTTCCTAAGTAGATTTAAGAAGAAGTGTGGGGGACAGTGTGTGAGGCCGGGTTCCCGGAGGGTCATAGGACAGTGGCCCAGGGCGAGGCTGGACGATGGAGTCTGATTATATTTATATCCCTCTCCACTTCATCTAACTTAAAGTAACTTAATTAAAGGTTCTTGGGAGAGTCTGCTTTCCTCAGTGTCCACTGTAGCCACCACAGATTTTTCTGGAAGGCACAGGTTGAATTAGATGGTGACATTCCTGGTATTCAGAATGTCCACTTGACCCCAACTTAAAACGTCCCCTCTTCTGAAGGAGGCTCGGGGCCCCAGACACCCCCCTGGAGCCCACTTTGATATCTTTGAGCACGAGGACCGTGGAGGACCCTTGGTCTCTCTGGTGTCCTGCTCTTGGGTGGCCGAGGCCCTGCCATGGCGGTCGCAGAGCGACTGGTGACAGTGGGCAGGGGGAAGTGGCTGCACAGCAGAGCCACTTGGGATGGCGGGCGCCTCCCCAGAGCCATGGTGGGGTGAGGCGGAGGAGCGCCAGACCCCGTCCTAACCCTTGTTCATTCTCTCGCTAGCTGTGTGACGTTGGGTTCCCTCGTGTCCCTGAGTACAAATGGTGTGTGGTGACTGGGCCCCAGGTATGATATTTGCTGCAGGGAGCCCGTCTTTCCCCCTCTGTAGTCACGAGAGTCAGGTGTGCCAGGTGACAGCCGTCTGCTGTTGGGACAGAGCAGGGTCCATAGTGAGGAGGTGACAGCACTGCCCCAGGCCCGCCATGCCCCCTTGGGACACACCGAGGCACAGGGAAGGCAGTCCACAGGTCACCTTAGAACCGCCTGGAAGCCATCTCCAGTGTGTTCTCCGCTCCAAGGCCACCATGTTGGCTTCCCCGGGTGACAGGCTCAGGCTTGTGTCTCTGCCTCAGCTGGACATTGGAAGTGACTGCTGGGCTCTAGGGAGTCCCAGAGTCAGGGTCAGGGCGTTTCTCGGTCCCTTGCCCACCCTCCTGCGCTGCGGAGATCAAGTGACTGACACCCTTTTCTTTGGTCCCAGGAAAGTGGGGGCTCAGCAAGAACTGATTCCCGGGCCGTGCAGCTAGCCCAGAAAAAAAAGGAAGGAGCGGCCCGCCGTGCAGGTGAGGCCAGGGCGCTGGCGCTGGGCGGGCGGGTCCCCGTCACAGCCCAGGGCACGCAGAACCGCGCTCTGTGCGGAACACCCTTGGCCGACTCCGCGCCTTTACGCGCGCGGACTCCAGGGGACAGGGCAGCAGCAGTCCCGGGACCCAGCAGGTGGACGCGCCCTGTACTCACCCAGGTTACAACGTAGGGGTCCCCACAGTGTCCGTTCCCCGGGCGGCTGCAGAGTGGCCAGGTGTCAAAAGAGCACCAAGCAGCCTCAGGTCCCCAACCTGGGCAGGGTGATGGCCCTAGGGCTGGGCTGCTAGTCCCCCAGGGCAGCGGTAGGTGAAGTCCCTGTGTGTCCTAGGGCATGTGGCTCCTAGTGCAGACTTTACGGTGACATCTCTGTGAGCAGCTGGTTTGGATCTTTAAAAAACACAATGAACCCAACAAGAGCTGGTACTTGTGGCCTTATGTTTCCGGGCCTCCCAAAAGTGGGGCACAGCACCTTGAAACTGGTAAACCCTTTGGTGACAGTAACACCGAGTTCTTTTAGGGTACTGTTTCTGAGTATCCCATTCATCTTTTGTATTTACTTAGAATTCATTTTTAAAATGGGCAGGTAGGGTCAGTGGTGCAGTGTCCTGTCCTCTCTATTCTCAACCACATCGAAGCTTAGTAAGAATAACTTCTCCTGGGTGTGCTGGTGCTGCCTGTCAGCTCAGCAGCTCGGGAGGCTGAGGCGGGAGGATGGCAAGGTGGAGGCCAGCCTCAGCAACAGCGAGGCCCTGAGCAACTCAGGGAGACCCTGTCTCTAAATAAAATGCAAAACAGGGCTGGGGACGGGGCTCGGGGGTCAAGAGCCCCTGGGTTCAGTCCTTGGTACCCAAACGAACGAACCCTAGTTTCTGTTTAAGGGCTTCTTAAAGCAGACGTCCCATGTAATGAGGGTCACACAATCCGTGCTCACTGGGCCTTGGGAAGGGAAACCATCACGGGTCATGGAGTGCTGAGGACAGCGCGTGGAGAACAGGCAAGGAAGGGGGGGGGGGGTTCTGTAGAAGGGACCCCCGGGCGCCAGGCAGAGCTCATGACGGAAACCAGGCGCCTTCATGGACCCAGTCGGTGACCATGAACTTGAGGGAAAGGGCACTGCAGACAGGCAGGTGGATGGTGGCTAGGCCCTTAGGTGACGTTTGAGTGGTGCTCATGAATGTTCAGGTCATCCTTAAGAAATAAGCACATTGGCAGAATCGCAGTCACACGTTGTCACACGGTAGGTCTTCAGTGTCGAGTCCCACAAGTATCCAGACTGGACTTGTCACAGATGTCGTAGTCCCGAGACAGGTCACATCAGAACCCACGTGAGGCCCTGTGCTCCTTTGGGGGGTAAGACTCTGTTCCGGCCGCAGGTTCTGCGTCTCCCTCCTCCCGAGCAGGTGGCCTGGGGACTGTCCCTGAGCTGGTGTGGCTTCTGCTGATGGCATCACCGAGGTGTCGCTGGGCGGGTTCCTGGTCTAGTGTGGGTTTCCTGTTGCCTGGGGACCTCGTCGGTGGGTTCTGTGTGTTGACAGCGTTGGTGAAACTCTTCACAGGGGGTGGCCCTGGTGGCCCTGATGGGTCAGGAGCAGCCTATGTGACATCAGGCGGCCCCCTTCACTCTGGGGATTGCTAAGATGTGCTGTCAGCTCTTCACTGAGAGCTGGGCGACATCTGTATAGAGCAGCGTCCCCGTCCCCACCCTTGAGGTGCGCTCACAGGAACGGGGACATGTGGGTCGTCGTTGGTTTTCCAATAAGACCCGCCTCTTGGTGTGTTTCTTTTGGGTTTTGGTTTTGCGATGCTGGGCTCCGACCCCAGGGGCTCTGCCACCCAGACCCCTTTGACCGTCTGTTTTGAGGCAGGGTCTCCCTAAGCTGCTCAGGGGTCTCACCAAGTTGCTGAGGCTGGCCTCGAATGTGCGATCCTCCTGCCTCAGCCTCCCGGTCACTGGGATGACAGGCATGTCCCACCACATCTGGCCATTTGCTATAATTTCAAGAAAACTTGGTGCCTTGGTGCAGTCCTCTGTGTCCCCACGTCGTGCGCTGCCCAGCCTCCTCTGCTGTCAGCCTGTTCCTCAGTCCTAGTGCATCTCGGGGAGTTCTCTTGCCATAGTCATGAGAGTTGACGACAGGCATTACCACCCCCCACACACACATCCCCCAGTGTCCTTGCTGTCCCAAGCGTACTGTGCTGCTGGGGACAATTGCAGGCTTTCCCACCCATGACCACACAGACGCAGCACTGCCGGCCAGGGGCAGCTGGGGCTGCAGATTCTGCTGGGGCTCCGTCGCGTGGACGGACTGACCTTCGTGTCCAGCCCCTCCAAAGGCTGGGGCTTCCACTGTTTGTCACACTGTCAGCGTAAGCCACCCGCTGGGTACAGAGGTGCTCTCACCAAGGACCAAGGACCCGCAGGTCACTTCCCAGGAGCCCGGGCAGGGTTGGTCCTGCACCGTGAGCCGTGAACCCTCTCTGGCTCCTGAGACTGCCCGCGGTCGGAGCCCGCTGGGCCTGCCTGTGCTGTCCCTCCGCTTGGTGTCTCCGGTGGCCTTGGGCGTCCATCAGTCAGGGGATAGTGCGGGGAGCCCCTCTCCCACTGACCGACTCGCTCCATTAGTGAGTTTCTTCTGTTCCTTCCACCATGGTCAGTGTTGGGTTAGGTCAACCTTAGCATCGTGGTGTGCCTGGGAACGTTCTGGGGTGGTCCCTGGGTGGACATACCCACCTGGCCTTTCTCCCAAGTGCTTCCTCACTGTCCAGCACCCTCGGTTCATGGTGTTACTTGGCCTCCTGGACACCTGCGTCTTCCCAGGGCCTGGCTTCCTTTGGCTGGAGAACGGCATCTGGGCCCAGGCCCTCTTCTGGCCAGCGCTGGGAAATGGGGTCACGCAGCGGCCCCCATGGCTGGGTTTGGAAATGAGGCATTTGGGATTCTAGAGGCATCCTACTATGCGCCTCACTGCCCCTGGTCAGTGCTTTGGTCCTCTTGAGCAGAGCATTCACCTAAGTAGGATCACGACCAAGGGGACACAGCCCCGTGCGAGTGGAGGTCAGGTTTGGCGGCCCCATTAGCATTGGCACAAGGTGGGGGGAGCTGGGGTTTGAACCCTTGGCTTTGGGGATCGTGGCAGGCGGCCTGAGGATCCAGAGGAAGCCCAGGAACAGGACAGGCGCCACGTCTCGGAACTGTTGGAGTGACATCATCCAACGCAGGCTGGACGTCCCTGCTGTCAGTGTCGTGAAGGGCAGAGTGGGGACGTGGGTCTCCGGAAAGGTGCGGTTTGGGGTGACGGGATCTGAAGTCCCAGGCTGCCCCACGATGTTGCCCTTAACTGTCGATGACACCCCGGTGCTGGTCTCCACGCCCTTGAAAACAGGAACATCGGCTGACGGGGGATTCCAGGTGGGCGTCTGCCTTCCCACTGCCCAGGAACCCGGAGGGACAGCAGGCTCCGCGCGTGCCAGAAGGGACAGTGAACTTGGTGACAGAGGCCCAGGGCTTCTGTGTCACAGTAAGAACACGAGCGAGAGACAGACGGGGGACATGCCAGAAGCAGGCTCCCCCGGGTGTGGTCTGGAGGCACAGCCCATGTCCCTGGGGCGGTGCAGAACGCAGACCAGACAAACCAGGGCACTTGGAAACCCGTGGGCAGGAGCCCACGAAACAGCCTTTACTGTTTCCTGACCGTAACGTGTAAGTTACAGAGTGAAAATTACGTGGAAGACAAGTGCACCCCCAGACGGTCCACCTTCACTAGTCTCAGCAGAGTGAGCGAGGATAAAAGGAAGCCCGAGGAAATGGCCCAGTCCGTAGGGAACGGAAATAAACGTCTCTCGTAAGCTAAATGGTGGTCACTGAGAATACTTACCACAAAGTGACCATTTTCCAAGAAAACAGCAGTCGCCATCATTCAAAAATGAGAATGAGCCTGGCGAGGTGGCGCACGCCTGTCATCCCAGCAGCTTGGGAGGCTGAGGCAGGAGGATCGCAAGGTGGAGGCCAGCCTCAGCAACAGCAAGGCCCTGAGCAACTCAGGGAGACCCTTCTCTAAATAAGACGCAAAATAGGGCTGGGGAGGGGGCTCAGGAGTTGAGGGTCCCTGGGTTCAAGAATGTCAACAAGAAGCTAGTGTTTGAGCCACACACTGACTGGTCACACAGGCATGTGGCATGTGCAGCACGAGCTGTCCCCGAGCTCTGAGAGATGGATGCTTCCCAGGACAAGCCGGACGAGATGCCCCTCAAAAAGAGCCGCAGACTGGTGGCTTATGGGATGGGCTCAGCAACACCCCTGAGACCCGGGAACACAGGTGACCTTTCTCACCCCCAGGGTCTAAGGGGACGTTAGGCAGGGCTAGCCAGCCCTGCAGTCAGGGGTCAGTGGGGACTTGGTGATTTTCCTAACAGATCTTGTGTTTGATTTTAAAAATGGACAGCAGTCAGCGGTGGAAATGAGAATGCGTGATAAAGATCTCTGTAGCCCAAGCCCACAGCCTGCCTTGTGCTTCACGGTGACAGCAACGCCCTCGCTCCACGCACCGGCACCACACGGGAATCCCCAGGTGGCCCTGTCCCTGGCGTTGTGTGGCCTCCCAGGGCTTCTGACCACTGAAGGAAACCAAGAGAATAACTTGGACCCCTGCCTCCGGTCAGTCAAGGGAGCCAGTCACCAAAGACCAGGTGACACTAATGGGTCATGTGACAAGACCGAGGGAGGAAGGAGTAGAGGGGACAGGAAAGGCCATACCTGCAGGCGTGGAGGAGGGGCAGCGCCCTTGGCCAGGGAACAAGCAGACCAGGAAGGACCTGAGGCCTGGTCATAGAGGAGGGGACATTGTCGTAGAGTGGAGGAGGCTGGGTTGTTCGGGCCTTGTAGGCCATTGTCACAACTCTGGCTTTCCAGTGGGAATTGGAGGAGGAAACATTAGAGGGGCTAAATAGAAAAAGGACCTCCCCAGACGAGATATGGTGG